AATCCATGCAGCAGTTCTGAAGATAACTTCCAGTAAACAGTCGGATGCATAGCATCCATGCATATGCTTAATGGATATGCATCCATCCATCCATCCTTCCATCCATCTATCCATCTAGACATTCGCAATTTATAAATAAAAATTCTTCATTAATTTTCAATTCAATTGTATTCAACATGTATTTTACGAGCGTGTCTGTCAGTTTTGTTTACTTAAAACATATAACATGGTGTTTAATTATTTCATTGTCTTGACCCAGAACTGATATTAATTAAATACAGGTAGAGTCATTCATGAACTTCTGTGACCACGTTGTAAACAAAATACCATTTGTTTCGTAATTTATTTATTTTCACATTTCATAAAGTATAAATGCTACATAGTTATTGCATAACATTTACGTCGGTTTGATTTGTGCATCTTTTGAAGTGCAAATGCAACCTTTGATTACAAATTAAGATAAGGGAAAAACTAGATTATTGGTTATTAATAACAACGAAACTTGAAGTATAGTCAGGTACATGATACAAGATGAATCAACAATCTACTTAGCAAAAAACTATGATCGTCTTATCTTCTTATAATGCTTCGTAATTTTCTTTTCCATTCCAGTGCACTGTTACGTAAATCCTCTAGGACGTGTCTCCGGACCTCAGCGTCCCTGTTGTCGACCTCGGTAAAGTTTGAATGGAGTCATTAATGTATTCATTACAATCCGCCGCCACCTCGCTACCGAGAGCTCCTTTGTAGTTAAACTTAATAACTAAATCGCCAGATTCCTAATACCAAAAACCATCGTACGGCTTTATAATCTGTGGTAGTGTTCTCAAATCTCTGAAGCTCATACCGTTCTCTTTTTGTGCGTTGACGTAAATCACGCGATGTTTAATCTTAATAGTGAAATCTGCTTCGTTGAAGTCTGGTAAATTGTACATTAACTAGTAGCCATCTGGTTTGTATACATCACGTATCTGGTTAACAGTTTCAATGTTGCAGTTACGATGGCATTCCTCGTCCGCTAAGATAGTGAAGTGCGCGGTTTTGTCGAACACTTTTTCGAAGTGGCGGTTGTTGTAGCGCTCGAGACGCTCCTTCAGCTTGCAGGAGTGGTTATCGTGGCATGTGGCATCACCGTTACTAATACTCAGACAAAGTAACAACACGACGTAGCGACACATCTTATGACGACTGATCAACTGAGAATACAACGCTGTGATACAGCGATTTCCTCCTTACTCGTAGTGATAACTACGAATTTAAAACTGTTTGTTTGAAAATTTGTCACGCAGTACCAACAGTGTATAAAATATTTTTTTTATACCAAATGGTGGCAAACGAACAAGCAGACAGAGAGTTGCCCATGGACTGGCATTTGTAGAGGTGTTGCCTAATTTTAATGGACAGAGGAAGGAACACACAAAACACGTATATATTCTTTTTGTCGGCCCATAAAAAACCGTAGCAATTGTTTTGCAAATATGTAATAATAATTAGAACGTCCGATTTCACAGGCAATCTTGTCTTACTAATATTATAAATGCAAATGTTTGGATGGATGGATGGATGTTTGTTTAAAGGTATCTCCGAAACGTCTCAATATATCTTGATGAAATGTGGCACAGATGTAGAACATAGTCTGGAAGTACACGTAGGATACTTATTATTTTTTTTATTCCGTGCGGACAGAATCGCGGGCGACAGCTAATAGTCAATAAGATCACTGATAAAGTAATAAAGTTGTTGGACGCTCGTGAGGTCATAGAGTCAAGAGATAAATTTGTTTTTAATTTGGAATTCCCGTAAAGATAACTTATGACAAAACATATCCCAATGTTAAAGATGTGCTAAATAAAATTAATTACTGAAAACTTTTTCCGTGTTTTCTGTTGCAGCGTATTAAAAATTTACCTCCAAAAAATCTGTCCTAAATATCTAATAATCTAAAGATTTAAATGATCTAACCGCTGAGCTGTAAACATTGGCTGTATTTGATGTTTATTTACCGAAAAAAAATGTATCCGCAGCCGGTAGGATTCGAACCTACGCTCCCAGAGGGAATCTGATTTCGAGTCAGACGCCTTAACCACTCGGCCACGACTGCTCGTGGCAACAAGTCCTCAATGTAACTTATTTTACTTAGTAGTAGTAGATTTGTATTTTAATATTATATGCTTTTAATTTCACTCATTTCAACTTGTTTCAACATGGATATGTCAAACATCCTGTACAATGATTTTGGTAAATTACTGACTGAATATCGACGACACTTCTTTGATACCTGTATTTGTTCTGGTTTTGTGAAATACTGCAGATTCCTAATTAAAAAAAGTAAATGTAGTTCTGGATAATGACACCTCTATCGGTCCCTGCTGATTCTCATTAACGACCTATTCGCATATTAAGGTAATGAGGGGACCCCCGCCTTCGCTCCGCACCCCTTCCTCCACAGCCCAAATGCCTGTTTCACACGAGGGTAGAACAGAGCAATAGACACTGCAACATTGCTACTGTTGGAACACACTTACTGTTTGTCGATATACTTTCAGCCCGATATCTGATGTACAAATCTTGTACAATTTTTCTTTACAACTCTTACATGTTTTAGTTAATGTAGGTGTCACTATTCTGTCTCAGCGTGTGCGTGCTATAATAGTACTGTCTTGTATTACTGTTCAGCTTGTGCTGTGTCCTCGTGTAAACTTAACGGCTACTAACTGACCGGATGGAGATGTGATTCGCCGAATTCGCTCGTCCCATGTTCTTGTTTGTTATCTTTGCTGACTCGACAATCAGTTCTAACGCTAATTTTCGCAATTCGTTCATTTAATTGAATCAAATACTACATTTGTCTATAATTTATCAAGCATGTTAGGACGATAATGATTATTTTCTGAATTACGAGCTATCTTACTTTTTACTTCTTACCAATATTATAAATGCGAAAGTTTGGATGGATGTATGGATTGATGTTTATGTGAAGATATCTTCACAACGTCTGCATGGATCTCACTGAAATTTGGCATAAATGTAGAGTACAGCCTGAAAGGCTTCTAGTTTTATTTTATTTTGATAAACATTTTGACAATGTTATAAAAAAATTGACTTGTATTGCGATAGATAACTAGAGTTATTTTCTTCTTTTACATTTGACAGTGCTATATTGATGTTCGTCATGTTGACATTGAATCACATGGGCTATATGGTTGATATATAGAGCTGACGAGTCACAACAGTGTCAACTCTGCACATCCATCACATTCGCGCCAGTGCACGACGCGATGTGCAATCCGTACGCGTTGGAATACACAACGATACCAATTTATTTGAACTATATTTATTAAATACAAAATAGTACCAAAACAGATGACTTACCTTTTTACATATTTATTAATTATGAATTAAGGCGCGTTTCCACAGTGCGTGGTTTCTGATTGACGAACCGCGCAGGACGCATGAAAAATTTGACATAATAGACTCTACGTTTATCACAAATTGTATACAATTTTTGTGGTAAATAAATATCAAGAGATTATATTAAATTAGTGATGTTTCTCTTAACCATTGCAACTTAGCTCTAAGTCAATTCTAAGTATTATACAATAGTCGAATAATGTATTCAAACCCAAAACTACGAGATCGGATACCCATGGGCTCGGCTACTAGTCCGTTGAGGCTTCATTTTATAATATCTGTATTCCGTGAAAACTTTATAAATTCTGCATTTGCATGCTTCTTAAGTCTCACAGCAAATCCATAATCCAACATCTGTAAGCTTTTCGTGTATGAATATATCCTGCAAGGAAAAGCTTTTGAGCTTTACACTAAAATATAAAGTTTTAATGTATTTTCATTTAGGGCTGCAACACTAATACATAATCTGTAGGTAAGTGTAATATTAAAAGATAAAGTTTTATTTAAAACACCTGCATTTAGTTTAGAATAAACATTTTCAATTATTAAGAATAATCTTTGATAATTATCAAGCAGTGGCAGCGGTTGCAACAACATCTAATAAAAAAAGTTCGCTGAGGACAGGATTCGAACCTGCGCGGGTAGAACCCATTGGATTTCAAGTCCAACTCCTTAACCACTCGGACACCTCAGCTGTGTCATGCGTGTTGAAATTACAAGCAAAATGCAGAAGCAAACAGTCGTAATATTCTCTAAACACTTGTTCAAACATTATAATAGTTAGTATTGAAAATAAAATATGCGCCTACGCATTGTTTTCTCTCTCGCGACTTCCCTAGTTAAAAATGTCATTATAAATAAAATAAACAAAGAAGATACACCTGGATTATGAAATATTACTTATGTTTTGGAATATCGAATTGTTGATTATAACAATGTGATTTAGAGACCAGAACAAATTAGTGATGAAGACGAAGAAGAAGAAATAGTGGAGACCAGAAAGAATAAATATTCGTTAAGAGTACTCTGTGCATTCATTTGTTTTTACCATAATGTTGTGGGGACAATGAGATAAGCTGGGGCGTTCGCTAATGCACCTATCACAAACTTAATATGACAATTCCTTGTGTTGTACTCCAATTGTCCAAATCAATATTTGTTCCTTGTTATCGATTCGCAGGTATATGGAATGTACGAAATTTTTTCAATAGGAGTTCAATTTTTATAAATAAATACGAATGAATCTTAACGTATTAAGTTGGAATCACGTACTTTCAAACGTTACAATTGTAGCAAAAACTAATTTTCAACAGAGATAAATTCAAATCGTTCGGAATAACGTTATCTGCTCTCTAAAGCTGAATAGAAACTGCCTCATTCAGGAAGAAAGATAAGCTTTTAGACATATAAATTCTATGTAGTTCATAGTTCCATAAAATTTTTAGTGTTTTCTGTTTCCAATAAGTTTCCGCGTCCATTGGATAAAACATATGAGCTATATTTGTCTCTATTTAATGTCGATAATTGATTATAAATAAATGTGTAAAATATACATCACTAGCTGTTATCTCATTTGAACTTTAGTGATCTAACAATCGTATAGTCTCACTTACGTAGTCGTCGTTGCAATACAGCCAGTAAGATTGTTTTTTATAAAATGTACAAACTTTTTCTTCTATTTCTACTGTTTGTTGCCGTTGACAGCAATCGATGCCACAACGATGGCCACTGCAGACACAGGCATAACCAACACAGGCCGGCGCGTTACAACAGTCGTCATTTCGAAAAAGTCTTCCAAGATATATCCAGTACCGTAATCGATATAGACCGCAAGTATCAAGCAGTTTGCAACAGTTCAAACCAACAGATAAGTGAAAATTATGGAGTTGATACTTATACTTTAAAGTATTCACTTAAAGAATATTCCGAAGACAATGTTACAATCAAATTACAACATCGAGTGATGTATTTGAAAGCTGAAAAGAGTCACGTATCAGTATTTAAAGATATTAGAATTCTTCCAAGAGTAGTGGATGCAAAAACAGGTCAGTATTTCAAACAGGATGAAGATTTACTTGTACAATTCTCGTATAAAACGAATCCGAAAACAGAAAATGTTCTCACCTGCGGTGATGATATCAATGAAGAAATTCAGAAGCTGACTAAAGTGGCAATAACCGAAGAAGATTTGAGAATAGGGAATAATTAATATGGTTTATATATTAGCAAATGCTTTCCATGTGTTTAAAATTAATTATAAAAAAAGACGTGCATAAATATTGTAACATTTTTAAAAATTAATAATTATTCAATGTTTTTTTTTTAAATAAAAATATTTTTACAAATTATTTTGCTATAATTTTCCTAAAATCAAAATCGAATTAAAAGTATAAAAAACTCGTGTTTTGAAGTGATAACGTTTTACATAATATATGATGTTATTTGTTAGTGTATGAGAGCTTAGTTTCCTTAGCTCCAAACTCTCCTAGTCTTTACACTGTGAAGTTGTGCAATATAAACAAGTCGTATAGCTTAACTCTATTTTAGTATCGGTTTACACGTTCACCTAATATATACTTACATATTACAATGTTAGTTAGCAATAGACATTTTTACATAAACGCAACGTAAACGTCTAAATTTAGATATTAATTGCGCAGTAAGTATTGTGATGTTACGATAATTTGACGGCGCAAAGTATTATCTTGTAAGTCTTGACTCTTAACCTTACCTTGTTTTGATAACAACCACAGATATCGTGCTTACCACAAGCCAGTCAATCTCATAGTAGAACATCTTCTTGTCCAAGATGTATCGGTCCGTTTTCTTATTGTTTATTATATATAGTGTCACTGAAAGTCACCATTGCCACGGTGACCACGACTGTATAGTCAACTTCAGACTGAATCGTAATAACAACAGAAAGTTCGAGAAACTTTTTGATAAAGTGTCTAGAAATGTGATCGCCGCTGACAGGGAGGTGCACCACGGATGTGGCGCCACTACCACCAACCCCATCCATGAAGTAATCGGCTCAGATTTCTACGTTCTCAAATACACGTTGCCCGAGTTTACTGGTGCTAATTTTACTATCAGAATCAAACATCGAGTAATATATTTCAATGCTTACAAATCAAATGGACTGTCGTTTAGAGATGTGAGAATTTTGCCGCAGATTATCCGCACGCAAAGCGCTCAGTGGTTCATGGAAAATGGTATCGTGAATGTCATGTTCAATTACAAAAGCCCGCTGACGACTGTCACGGCAAAACTGTGCGTGGAGTACGTCGATGAAGTGATCCTGACCGTTCCAATGATGGCGGTCATCTCCAATAATTTAAGGGACGGAGATATCGGAACGGCTCTCGATCTTTCTAGTAATGTATAGCAGGCATCAGGTAGCGCTTGATTTCAAGATTTTTTGTAAAATTGTGTATAACTTCTAACTATGCAATATCTGTCTTGTAGAAACAATGTTCTTCATTATAGCGTTATTATATTATAAATATTGTATTATTGTTAGATTATATTATATTAATAAATAGAACTCCTTATAACAAGAAATTATTTGTATAATTTGCACCCATGAATATAGCATTAAAATATAATTTGTTCTATTTGCTATTACAATATTAAAGGCGTATATTTACTGGCGTTTGTGTTGGCGCAATGATACAAAAATTTGTGAATGTTTTTTCACTGTTAACGTTTGTTGTTAAGTTTTGTTACAACTTTTGCTATTTAAAATAAATAGGCGCTATTCGCCACAGTGAAACGGTTTACCAGTGCTTAGTATCAATTCCAGAGATAATTCACGAACACATGCTTTTTTATCCTGCATCAATCAACATAAAGACCGATAAAGATATCTGACCCGGTAGTTATAAGTGAAACTAAATTATGTCAGCTCACTAGCACCCCACTGTCAATGTCAAAAGTGTCAATTCGTGAGGTATCTGTCATGGCGTGTTTTTACTTTTAAGCCATTTTCAATGTCCATTTAGTTTTACATATTTCCTGACAGAACTAACCGCGATATTTAATCTTATTAATATTATAAATGCAAATTGTTGGATGTATGGATGGCTGAGGAAATGGATATTGTTGTTTGGCCTATGTGTTCACATAGGCCACTAAATATTTTTTTAATCCCTCGCGGATGAAGTCGCGGGCGACAGCTATTATAATTATCTTTTAAAGTCCACTAAATAAACATCTAGATATCGAATACGTTTGTACATTGCTTTAATGTCTTTATGCAACTGGTAGCTACTTTGTTAACTGCGGCGAACTTAACATTTTAATTATTTTTGTTTACACAACGATAATACTAATTGTTTTCTTGAATATTTGTAAGACATCTACATAAATACACGTAAACAAGTTTGTTATCTTCATTTTAATAAACATAATCACAAAGTAAAATAACAATCCTACTTATATATCTACTCTTTTAAAAATGTTTAAATCATAGGTAACTTTCATAAAAGAAATAAAAAATATTTTACTAAGATTGAAATAAAAAGTTTATTTATCACCTATTCTAGCTTAAATCTAATATGGCACTGGCACGAACTCCACCTCGTCCTTGAGGTCCACAGCGTACGTGGTGGCCTCAACCGCCTCCTTGTGCGGGACCTCGTTGGTAAGCAGCTCTGTCTCCTTGGCGACGTCTCCTTTGGCCAAACCCACGTCTGCGTCCTTGTTGTTGTCATCGCTGGGCGTCTCCTCGCGGCTCTCCGGCTTGAACTGCTCCGGTAACTCGGTCGTTATTTCTGCGGTCGTCTCGCCCTCCGTCGTCGTAGACAGAAGAGGGAACACGATTTTCAGGATGCCATCTTCAAACGTCCAGCTGCCGGTGACATTGACAAAGTCTGGTAACGTCTTCACGCTGAGGTAGCTGTTTTGTCCAGCCTCGCCGATGTTCTTTATCGCCTGAATCATCAGAAGACCCTCGCGAGCTTTTACTTTGATATCCTGTTCTTCGAATCCATTCAGTGCTACTGTAATCTTATATTCATTGGTCGTTTTGTCTATACCCTCGTTGGAGACACCGCTGGGGAACCGTTTGCCGAGGTCGTTGAGCAGCTGGTCCAGCATCGACATTTCCCGCGACAACTCGGCCCAGAACCTTCTAGTATCGAACATATTATCGCGGAAGAAATCGTTATCGTTGCCGATTTGAGGTTCCATTCCGAAGCCTCCGTGGTAAAAATCGTCCCGCGGGCCGAACGGGGACGGGGGACCATAACCATGGTGGTGGCTGTACTGCAAGCGGGGTGCCGCGCTGGCGCACGCAAGCATTGCGGTAAGGACTATCGCAAACATTGTTTTCAGTATGCAAAATGACAACTGCTTTGTTCCGAGCGAGGCGTCACTTTATATAGCTTGCTACGCTGGGTCACAGTTTATCTGACTTTATCAGTACTTTCTGGACGTCGGACAAACGTTCACGCTCATAGGTAGAAGAGGTCGCGTCGTTTCTCGGAATCTTAGACAATAAACATATGTCTAACTCTAAGTGTAAAACTGACTAATTCAGTAAGTAATAATGCAAAAATTTTCTTCAATTGATGAAGTCAGAAATGGTACAAATATTTATGAAAAATGTTTTTTTTTACTACATAAATAAAAGACTACTGTCTCTAGGACGCCTGAAAGACGCGATGTTTTATAGTATAAAGTGTAGAAATTAATTGAAAAATAACAACAACAATAACCTAAACTAATCCAAAGGGGTAGGCAGAGACAACGGACCTCTATTTAGAGCCGTTTCTAAAGGTAACGCGTTACGGTAGTCAATCCTTCGCCAGACGTATTTCTTACATTGAGTGGCAGCGCCAGTATAAAAACAAATCTTCAAAATGGTAAATCCCCTGGGTTAGATTGAGGTGAAGTTTATCTACCAAATTGATAACATACGATACTGTCAGGCCAGCTGAATCAGTGATTTGTAAAACTGATGGCGATTTGAGATTGTTGCAATGGTCAAGTAAGATGCTATTTTCAACTTGGTGTTCTCATAATGTCGGAAGCAACCGTTCTCTGCATCGTTCTTAATTATGGGGCTTCTGATAAGAAACTCCTAGCTAGAATAACATAATACTGTATTTTAAGTCAATAAATTATTTTGGAGTTGAGTGATTCTTGTATTTTAATATGTAGTTTAATAAAGTTTCATAGTCTTTGTACATCCAAGATATAATTTCTAGGTAATTACTTATTTGCAACTGTTCCTTGTTTATACTGACTCATTGGTGACAAAGTAGCACTGAGAGATAATGCTCCGTGGTTTTTGCGTTAATAGTCTGCGTGATTCAAAAGAAAACAAAACAAATGATGAATCCATATGTTCATTCTGCTACACTGAATATAAAATGGTGGGTTAATAAGATACGGATAATATCTTAAAATAGTCCAGGATGTTCTTCTTCCAATAAAAGAATTTCCCCTAAATGTCAAGAATAGAAATAACAACAATAAATTTACAATATAAACAATCCTAGAAATCTTACTAATATTATAAATGTAAGAGTTTCGTGGATGGATGGATGTTTGTTATTATATATCTCTAAAACGGCTTATCTGATCTCGCTGAAGTTTGGCATAGATGTAGAACAGAGTCCGGAAAAACTCATTAGCTACTAAAAAACTTTTTGTTAAATTCCCTAAAGACGTAGTTGCGTGTAAAAGCTATTTAACTTATATTTTTTCTGGAACCTTTCAATTTAAATGAAAATAAGTACAGCGCCATCTCGGGGTAAGTTGTCTAATTAGAACAATTTTAACACTATAGTTCTCATATTGTCAAATTCAAGTTGTTTAACAATTATAAACATTGTTTTGTTATAGATGGCGCTGTGTTTAAATATAATTTTTATCAACGCAAATTCGAAGTACCAATTCTTAGAAAAAACAACTACATATTTATATCCTTGGTCTTAGCCCGATTAGATCGATGAAAAAAATATTTAATATCACTATGACAGATTACCTTCTGTTCTGTTTCTTGTTTATGGCTCTCCCTCAGCGGATTGGGCCAGTGTCAAGTGTTTAACAGATTACATTTCTCTGGCACACCACGATTTCCCGCGCAGACTTGTTGTACAAACCAACCTATTTGATTCATCACCAAACAATCAAATTTAATTTTGATATGTCATAACATTAGTATTGTACCTAAGTACGTATTTTTATTTCAAAAATTAAATTCGGTTATGATGATTACGATAAATCATTTCAAGAAAACTGGACAAGGGTATGGAAAAAGTTGTATAATTCTGTTTCTATAATTATATTATAATTAAAAACATTTTTTGTTTAACTTCGTTTGTGTTGCATAGGAAGGTCCATTCCGCTCTGGTACACTAGGAACAATTCCAAACCTACTTATGGTCTTTTGACCAGAGCGCTCGATGGATACTTCTATTTGGTCTCTACACTAGGATCCTCTTTAGCTTGCTCTTTGGCTTTCCTTCTTCTTCTTCTCTTCTTCTTTTTCTCGGGAAGTTCTTGGTCCCTTGGGCAGGGGCCGTTCGCAGGCGGCATCATCGTAGTATGCATTGGCAGTCTACCCACTGTCGCTAGTTGAAAAGCAGACAGAGGAGGTTTTGGTGGTTTAACCTCCTCTTCATTTTTAGGGTTAATAGTTGAGCTTACTGGAACTGTTTCGAAGAACCTGTTTTCCTGAGTGGATTCTCTTCTGACTGCAATACCAACAGACTGGAGCCTCGCCTGCTGGGTTTGTCTGTCGCGTCGTTCCATTTTTCACTTCTTTAGATCAGTGGGAAGATGCGTCGACGTCTGATAGACCAGAGTATACTTCCAGAAGATGAAGCAGAGATGTCACCACTTTGCCCGGCAGGGAATATCCGATGGCCGTTGTCTCTTCTTCTTAAGTTATCTTCTAGAAGGTCAGCAATGGTACTCCCTGCCGGCTGGTGTGCCGTGTGTTCAGAGAGCTTGCATGTGGGGATCTGCAATGTCCCGCCAATGCGTCCTGTATTTATACTCAGACCAAACCTTATCAATAAATGTTGTGAAATTTTCTTTTTAATTAAAGAGTAATAAAAAGATTGTTTTATTTATTTACACCTTTGTATTGTATACATATATTCGGTAGATAATTTTTATTTGTTATTAATCGATAAGTAACCGAAATTAAAAAAAAATCGCACAACATTGCGTAATGGTAACAAAGTCATATTTTAATTTTTATCTATAAACAAAAGTGCTATGGTAAATATTTTATTTGGTTCCATTGTAAAAACTTTCGTTAGTAAAACAACAAAGCGTAATGAAATATATCATACTATTATACTTTTCTTATACAATTTATTTTTATTAATTGATTTATCTAAAATTTAATCCAAAGATTCTTTTAATTAGTATAAACATTTATATGATTTAGTTAATCTAAATATCAATTAATATAATTTTTGGATAGATGGATTATTGTAGTCAGCGATTAAACTAAGTAACTACATACAAGTATATAAAGTTCACGTTTGTAAGTTGTAACAAATGTCACGAAGAATAAATTTAACTGTGGACTTCCACTGCAGAAACTTTTTGACAGAAATACTTTCATATCTCTCTCTATCTCTATTCTATCTCTCATTTTCTTAAAAAAATCACTTAGAAATGTAAGTTTTAAGGTAAATTTCTGCACGGATAACTCACAGTTAGACAGGCGTGAAGTGGTCCCGGCGGCCTTATTCAGTCCTCTTTCCCTTTCCACCCTTTTTCTTATAAGGAAAGGATGGGAAGTGGAAGTGGACTTTCCGGATGAGAGGATGCATGGAAAGGGAAGATATTTTCTTTCTGTGCATCCTCTCCTCCGTCAAATCAAGATAGGCAACGCATATGCAATTGCGTATGTCTATGGGCAACGGTCACTTCGCTATTTTAGCGATTGCAGGTGGCCGCTCGCTCGTTTGCCACCTTTTGATATAAAAAAAACAGTAGTATGAACATAATAAATAACATTACTATTAGTATGATAATATTATATGTTTATTTAGTACCACAGTCCCTTATAAAGTTAATTTTAGTAATTTATACCTAATACTCTTATAGGATCACTTTGTTGTGCGTCCGTTCGTCTGTCATGGCCCTTTTTTATATTTATATGAATTCATTTTGTTTGAATGAATGGGAAAACTGGAGGAAGTATGGATGGATTGTGTGAAAGAGGATATGCGTAAGAAGAGGGTGATTTCAAATATATTTTTTTATATGATAAGGTGGCTAACGAGCGAGCGGCCACCTGAAATCGCTGAAATAGCGAAGTGACCGATGCCCATAGACATACGCAATTGCATATGCGTTGCCTACCTTTAATCGACGGAAGAGAGGATGCACAGAAAGAAAACATTTCCATGCATCCTCTCATCCGGAAAGTCCACTTTCACGTCCCATCCTTTCCTTATAAGGAAAAGGATAGGAAGGGAAAGAGGACTAAACTAGGCCTCCGGGACGCACACTCATCAGACGAAACGCAGAATAGCTTCCACTTCACGCTTGTCTTCTGTATGGTCGTGGTATTTCACCGGGCGAGCCGGGCCGATTCGTGCGAAGATGTTAAAGCGGGCTCTACCACTGTTAGAATTCAAATATGACGGCTGATAGAGATGTATCTTGAGAGATGTATGATATACACCGTGTTAACCCTCCATAGAGAAAAAGGCAGGTTGACGATGAGTAACGAAGTACGAATTATAGGTAAATATAAACTAGTAGTTTTATCTATGTGGGCAGCGATATCCCCACCCTTTTTTGTTAACTAGCCCCTCCTCTTTTCTATTTAATTGCTGTTACCACGTTTTGTATTTAGCATATCAAATTCAAAATCAATGTTTATATGTGTTACTTTACTATTTTTTTTTAATTGTAAAAAGTAATTTAAAATTATTTACATATATGTATAAACTCACAATATTAAAATGGTTTTTACATTAATTAATGCTGCTCTACTATCAATTCGCGTTTCTGTTAATTTTCTGGGTTTTACCTTCCTTCCGATTGTGACACTAATTGCACAATATTATAACATTCTTAAATATTAAAAAGTAACAATAAATATTAGAAAACGTCTCAATATTTGAATTTTCTTACTTTCGTACGTAATTTTTTTGTATTTTTTTTTACATATTTGTAAATTTATTACGCCTTAAACGATTAAATATAAATTAAATTGTATCAATTTCTTTATCATTTATAAGAAATTTTAAAAATATTTATATTTATAAGACAATAATAACAAAAATATCTTCTATAAAAGAAAATCATTAATTTTCTAATTTAAATTATAGTTCTTATGTTTTAATACTAGATGGCGTACGAGAGACATGAGTCATGACTAATGTGGCCATTTATTTTTTTGGTAAAGCGGGACACAGAGGCACGACACATAAACTACTAATTAAGTATTTTTAATTCCAACGAAGGGAGTTGCGGGCGATACCTAGTTGTAGTATAAAAGTTTTGCTATAAAAGGTAGGATACAAAATAACCAAAGCACTAAACAAAAATTACATATATTTATTTCGTTAATTAAATTGATAAATAAACACAAAATAGTTAAATAGGCACTACTTTGTTTGTAAAAGCAAGACTAGGAACGCGACGCTAGAAACACCGGGACAGGCTGCGTGTAGGCGGGACTGTCTCCGACTGAGACTGTCCCGCGCCAAAGCGGGACGTATGGTTACGTTAGTCATGGCGCATATTGAAACATAACACGAAGTTGATAAGCTAACTAAAACACTCCTAATATTATTGTTAAAATAAATTACATACAAAATATAGGCTTGCTATTTAATATCATTAATAATAATAATAATATTTATTTATATTTTAAGTAAGTCTTAAATTCTGTTTTTTTTTCTTACTAATATTATAAATGCGAATGTTTAGATGGATGGATGTTAATTCCAAGGTACAACAGCTAAATCTAGACGAAACTTAGCATAGGTGTGAAGCATAGTCCTACAAAAACACATGTTACTAAGTTTTTTTTTTTAATTCCGTGCGGACGCAGTCGCAGGCGACAGCTTGTACACAGTAAATGTGCAAATTGTAACAATTTTATCATTGCTGAAGACCAAGAAGTTCACAATAACATTTTCAATATTATTTGTAAATTGTATTGATTGTTTATGTTATGTGCATTGCATCACATTTTGCAAGAAAATTACAAAATATTGTGAAATTATATCAAATAAATCACCAAGATTCGGTTATTGCTTAATATTTAAAAAAAATATAAAAAATACTATTTAGTATCCTGCAGTTTTACACTGTGATGATTGGTAGAAGAAATAAATGTAATATAAAAAAATAACAACCAAATAATGACGTCAAATTGTGCAATCGTCATCTATATGTTTCACGTTACCATAGGCTTAGAAGAGCTTAAGCTCTGAAGTCATATTTATGAAATAAACATAAAAGCATCCTATCTTAATAATATGATAAATGCGTTAATGAATTAAGTTAATGTTTTGATGTATATGGATGTTTGTTTGAAGGTAACTCCAGAACGGCTGATGATGAAATTTGGCACAGATGTAAAAATAGTATGGAAGAACACATAGGCTACTAATAAAGTTCCTTTTCATAGCTGCGCGGACAGAGTCACGGGCGACAACTAGTCTTAATAATATTACACATGGAATAGGTTAAATAGAAAGATGGATGGATTTTTTTTAGAAGACGGGTGTATAGATCTAGCTTAAATGTGGCATAGATGTAGAACATAGTTTGGAAGCACACATATGCTACTGATTCTTTTTTTAAAACCGCGTGAACAGATGAAAAAGACGAAAAACATAAAAAAAACATATCAAGCGAAAAAAATGTGCCTTTGGCCAATGGAATATACTTTGTTAGGCATCTAACATTCATGGATAGACAGATAGCTAAATCAAAGGACGCAGATCCCAAAAGTTAATGCACCCTTTTCGCGGAATAAGGCACATCTCCATAAAAAACATGATAACGACGAAAGCTAAGGATGCTCAAGTAATAGCATTTTAAATTACCTTTCTGGTATAAAATGTCAAATTAAATAATGTCTTAATATATTTTCTTTTTATAAACAACGAATTTAAGAACTGAATTTATTATTTATTAAGCGCACAATGTAAAGTTTTTTTCAGACGACTTTATTTTGAAAGCTTTCGACATCCGTAGAAAGTCTACATAGATAAGTTATCAATAGAACTGTTTTACTTTACCTACGCCGTACTCAAACCTTAACACAGTTCATTATCGTTGGTAAATATACATTTTAATGAATCTAACTCTTTAATAAAATTATATATTAGAAGTATATAATAAGGATTGCACAAGATAACGTAATGGGAAATACCGGATAATATAAAGATTATTATTACGGCCTAATTTACTCCTTTTTCTCTTCCCATTCTTCTCTTATAAGGAAAGGATGGGAAGGGAAAATTATTTTGATGGAAGAGGGGACGCATGGTAAGCGAAATATTCTCTGTCCGTCACGTCCTCTGTCTGTTAAAGGTAGAAAAAAAATGCAATTGCGGATGTATATTTTGGGAAAATCAGATGTTTCATCGTTTCCCATTTTATGATATAAAAATACAGTAAATTATTACTCAATATGAGTATATTTTGACCCATGAACTGATAACGCGAGGAGCGACGTCAGCCGCGGCCGGCGCATAAATAGTGCGACGGAGCGGCTGTAAGTCACAGTACGACCAGTACACCAGTACTGGTCGGACCTGTCCTCGACGCTGCAGTCAATCGAAGCTCACACGACGCCACACACTGAGGTCCTCACGACGTCTTCTTCTATTATTCAAGAATCTCGCCACGTGAAAGAAGGATAGAATTGTCTTTTAAGTCATTCTACCAAGAAGAAAGTGCGCAAGCAAATTGAATAAATAGATTTAATTAAGTGCATCAGCACTAGAGAGGGAAGATGACACGAAGAAAGAAAAGCAAGTCTGCTTCGAGCGGCAAAGACGCCGCGGCCGTCCACGCGCCGGCACAGGCCGCGCTCGCTGCAGCCAGTGCGCAGGCTGGCGCTGCGGAGCCCGACGTCACGTACACCGTGCCGATCTGTCCCCGCACCGGATACTGCCTTCTCGGCCCCCGACCGGTGTATCCGATACTGGCGCCTCGCCCAGTCCAGACCTTGTCTGCAACGCGACCGCCTCTCATACAACAGGGAACCCAGCCGATGTTTGCAACTCATGGGCGTCGTCCAATGCATCAGGTGTCTGTCCCTACGTGTTCGACTGCCGCTCGACGTGGAACTGCCCCTCGTTCTGGTGCTGCCGCCCAGCTTGAGGCTGTTCGTCAGCCTGGGGCTGCTTCCCACTCTGAGAATGCTCGTCGCGTTGGGAATTCACCACAGCCTGCGACTGCACGGCAGCCTGTGACTGCTGCAACCGGATCTCAGGTACCGCCCCAGAAACGAGCACCTCAGGCTGACCAGAAAAAATCCTCTGGAGATCTCCAGGTTAAGTCGTCGGCTGGGCAACGTTCAGTGACCGCTTCTTGTGACCGTAGCTCCTCATCGTCCACTGGCCGTTCTACACGAAGCGAGGAGCTAAGCAGTGCTATTTCGGTAGCATCTACAAGTACCTCGGACTTCAAAGACAAGAAAAAACCGAAGCCGTACAAGATCAATGTCACATATGAAACAAAAGAAATCAACATTTACCCCCGGTACCCGATACTGACGGTAGAGCGACTGCGGAATCTGGAGTACCATGTTGGCGAACTGACAACGGTGATAGGCAGGCGTCCAGCCGTCTATCCTCTGGGTCGTCGCGTGCGCTTCGTGCCCGAGACCGCCGCAGAGGGCGACACGATAAAGCGCTACCTAGCGAGGATCGAAGCTCAGGAAGGGATCGCCTGGTGTTCCTACTCGCTGCCGCCCGGCAACAGCTTGAAGGTCGTCGTCAAGGTTAAAATCGTCGAGCGGATCAAGATAAAGGACGACCTCGCCAAGCTTAAACAGCAAGATGAGCAGAGTGGGGATCCTGCACAGGTCAAACAAAAAGATTCCGATGCAAAGGATGTGTCTGCGCCGACTTCAGTGCAAAATAGAAAGACTGATAAAGAATCTTCTCCAAAAGAAAAAAATATAGCTTCTCTAAGTAGTGTAAAAAGTGTCAGTAAAAATAATATTAAAAAACTAACAAATAGTGCTGCTGTAAACCAAATGACTACCTCAAACTCTGCAGCTGTAGCCAAGAACAAACCTGTTGCTCTTACTGGCTCTGTACAGAGTACTAAGACAAACGGGAACATAAATAATAAAAACCAAAGTGCCATGAAAGCAAGACGTAGAGGACAAAAACAAGAACCAAAAAAAATGACTGAAATTGAGAAGACTGCAGCTGCCGTGAAAATTGTACCCGAGCGAGACAATAAACTTATTATTGTAGGTGTTCAAAGGACAAATAAATTATTGTTCTAGATAAATAACCGACTGTAAGTTTAAATAAAGCTTTACGTGTCGCAAATATAACAACTTAAATTTTATTTACACCCCTTGTTGAAACTGATCATTGTTGCTTATTAATTACGATTATATTTCATCGCTTCATTTTTCGATATAAGTATTAACCAAGTAGTCCCTTCAACCTACAGGTGACTTTGCACGCTTAGAAGTCACTCTATTTACATATAATTTTTCGTGATTCAACTATTTACCAATATTAAAGAACTACTAATCAAATCGAAAACGATGTGTACGTTTTAGGAATAAAACCATAAAAATAGTGCGATACAAATTATTAAACGTCTAAAATGTTGAAAAAATTTAAGTTAAATTTTTTAAAAGAATTTGGGATTTTCTCATTTGGATTTTAGCTCCATCTATTGAACAATAATGAACCTATTTAAACTGTCTCGTTTCACTGAATGTTATCATGTTATCAACTAATGAAATATAGGATAGATGGCGTTAAAATAATCTATATTTGCTTTTCAAAACAAAAGATTACGTAAACAAACTGAAGCGGTTGCAAATGTCATTGTTACAGCAAAAGATGCAGAAATTGCTTTTGGTGATCGAAGTTCTGCATATAGGGTGGATTTGACAGAGGCCCGCTTACCCACGGTATAGTTGGGTCCACCAAAGTCAAAAAACATTTCGAGAACATGTCATTTAATTTTTTTTTAGTAAAAATGTTAATGTGTCGCTAGGCAACTAAACGCAAAGTCAATAATTGATCAATAATAAAGCTCTGTATTTTACTATAATTACTATTTAAATATTAAAAAAACTGTACAAAAAGGTGCGAGTAGAAAAATAAAACAAAATATAGAGGACTAGATTGAAATTTAATTAATTCTTAAAAGTAAAGTTCATACAATCATACAAAACGCAATTAACACAATACAACCAAACCTTAAATGCCGAAAACATAATATAATTATGATCGTTCCTCTTCACCTTGCCTCTTGACAGGTCCAGTTTGGACTATAGGCACAATTCTCTCATCAGAGTTCTTTGGAGGTACTTTCAATGGTGCTGTGATGCTAAGGACACCGTCTGAAGACAGCTTCGACATCACCATATCAGCTTCAATACCTTCAGGCAGAGCATACTTCCTCGTGAAACTCCTTGAAATAAAACCATGTTCGTCTCGACGTTCTTCATGTTTAGCTTCAACAATTAAAAATCCATCTGCAGTCTTTACAGAAATCTCTTCAGGAGAAAAATGTTGGACATCTAGGTTTACTTGGAATTTATCTTTATCCTGTTTAATAGTAGATCCCACATCACGATCTGCTGCCTGAAGATTCCGCCAGGGCCTGCAGTAGTCTCTGGTAGTTTGCGGTACTGCAAGTATTGTCAAGTAGTCCTGAGGAGTCAACCCCAAGCCGAAGTGTTGGTCCATCAAACGACGAGTACGTGGACGCTCGTATTCAATGAAAAACGGATAGACTGACATTTTTACGCGTTTTATTTCGACTTGCACAAGTCAAAGTAATCTAATTTTGCAGAAATACTGAATTACTGATCACAGTTTCGCCGGTAGCTTTAATAAGTGCCACTGCTCAACAATGTTATCGACTGATGCCGTAGTGGTGTAGGCCGCAACATTTATACCAATGAATGCCATCTCGCGACAAGTAGAAAGATCTAGAGCGTCTGGAAATTTCTCGAAGCCGTACATCCGCACAGAGGTTGTAAACAGTTTTAATTGACGTATATTGCACGCGTAAATACTCATTTTGCTAAATTCAACTTTTTTACCCAAACTAATTTAAAATTTTTAACTTTTTGCTTCTTTTTTTTAAATATATTTACTTTTTACTTTTGTTTTGTTCATTCTTTATTACTAATAGTAATGGATACATCATAAACAAATCATCAAGAAAATTATATCAAATTTTTGTTTTGCATCTTAGTGAAAAAACATTAATAGATGCTTTAATAAAGTGTCGAAAAAAATAGGCCGTTGCTGAAACTTGACAAATTTCTTATTCTCGATTTAGTTTCAAATCAGATTTCATATTTTAAAATAAGATGCTAACAGTTTATTACACCTGAGTAATACTACTACTCGTCACTAGAGGGCGTAAGTTGCACAAGTAGAGCATTCTAGAAATTGTGTTGACCATACTAATAGTACGCAAATGTATTCCTGCTGTATTTAACCTTTTATCTTTGAATTATTATGATAAATATAAAAGTACAATAAGTAAACTTTTTTAAACAATAAGAAAACACATTTTGGTTGAAACAACGAATTATTATATTTTGTCCCTTGGCTAGATGGCAGCACTTCCTTTTATTTTAACCTTGACTCCCATCACATTTTGATATTTACTATTTTTAAAACATTTTATTGGCTCCTTACGAGTTAATATTTGAAGCCCTTTTGCATACCACGATGCCTATAGATAGCTTGCGTTTCGCTATTTCTGCGAATTCATGGTTTGCGACCTTGTAATTTTTTAAAAAGGAAAATTAGTTTGTTCCTTTTTTGAAAGAGAATGTTTGCCAAACCTTAATTTTTCTGTCATGTGCGTTAATACAATAGATAATAGTAAACACTAATATAGAATAAGAAAAATGATAATACAAAATATCTTTAAAATATCCACATCGTAATAATGTCAAATGTTGGCAACCCTAATTTGAATTCATCGTAATGTATACTATAGATATCTATGTTCGTACAATCCGCGATCAATACTTGCTCGCCCGGGAAATATTAAGGTAAGTTCACACTATGAGTTTATATAAAATATGGTTTTGGATGTGGTTTCATATTTACTAGTTATCTTTAAAAACACTATTAATTGGACCTTCATGGACTGTCCTTGAGATAGAATTAGACCAGGAAACAATTTTATGATTTTTGAATCAAAAGAATGCTTGCTATTAAATAATGAATCGCGTGTATTAGACAACAATTGTGTATACTTTAATACATACACTTGTCTGCATAACACACATTTAGGGTTTTCGTTATGTGAAGACAGAGAATAAATGATAAAGTTATTACAGATGGAATTGGCGTAAATTTCTTAATAGTTTTCGATTGTATAATGTAGGGAAATGAGTATTTTCTACGTGAGGAAATTGTTTTAACTTAGTACATAAGAGTACATAAAGTTGAAATTAGATACCCTTTAATTGTATACCATTCCGAATTTTTTCGTTGTCATTAAATATCCATGATTAATATTGACAAAATCTTTATTAACAAATTGAATTTTCTTATGATTAATTGTTAACAAAAAACATTGTAAATATTAATGTCTGGATGGAAACTAATAGTCGGCCATATCTTTTTCATGCGCAAGCTGTCTGCGCAGTGTCGCTTCGGAGAGGTGAAAGCCGGCCGGGCATTCATTGCGAAAAGAGACGAAATTAATAAAATGTCGAACATTCTGCCGCTGTTCTTGGATCTGGAGGCCCCACGGCGGCCTAACCAACGCCACGTCTCGCTGCAAGTCCGCCCAGAGGAGGTGCTCGAGGAGCTCAGTCGGCTCCAAGAATACGACAGGCCGCGGAACCAGCAGCCGACCATTTTGAAAAAAGCCTCTTCCGCCATAAAAAAGGCTAAAAATAAGTTTCAAGTAAATCTGGACGTGCAATGCTTCGCGCCCGAAGAGCTGTCAGTTGTGACGATTAATGGGTTCGTGGTGGTGGAGGGTAAGCACGAGGAAAAGCGCGAAACGCACTGTTGGGTGAGCAGGGAATTCCGGGCGCGGTACCCGCTGCCGGAAGGTTGCGGCACCGAAGCAGTGCGTTCGCAACTGTCGTCCGACGGCGTGCTCACGGTGACGGCGCCGCTGCAAAAGCAAGCACGGGCCGTGCGGCTGGTGCCCGTGGTATATATTGGCCCAGTGCGGAGTCAACACAAGTCAGCCCAGGTTCAGCTGGAAGAAGCCTTCGGTGGGCACGTCGAAGGGGTCAGCGAGACGCCTGCTGCCTTCGGCGGGCACGTCGAGGCAGATAGTGAGACGTCTGCTGCCTTCAATGGGCACGTCAAGACTGATAACGAGACCCCTGATGCCTTCAGTGAGCACGTAGCGTGGGACAGCGAGACGTCTGCTGCCTTCGATGAGCACGTCGCGTGGGACAGCAAGACGCCTGCTGCCTTCCGAGGTTACGCCGAGTGGGACAGGGAGGCGCTTGCTGCCTTGGATGCGCACGTCGAGTGGGACAGCGAGACGCCTGCTGCCTTCGGTGAGCGCTTCGAGGGCGACAGCGAGACGCCTGCAGCCTTCGGTGAGCGCTTCGAGGGCGACAGCAAGACGCCTGCAATCTTGGGTGGGCGTGACGACAGCGACAGCGAGGCTCATGCAACCTCCAGTGGACGTGTCGATGGCGACATCGAGACGCCTGCAGTCTTCGGTGGGCGCGTCCAGAGCGACAGCGAAACTCCTGCAACCTCCGGTGGGCGCGTCGAGAACGATGCTGCTCTCGACGCGCCCAGCGAAAACGTCCACTAGATTGCGCCAATCTCCTACTGTATCTATTTATTCACTTGAATACAAATTTTAATTCAATGTATTTGATATTTAATTTGATAATGACGGTTTAAATAAATGATAAGTTTATTTGACACATTAATTTACATAAATTTAGTCTAAGCAAAGTTATGTTTTTTTCTTAAATAAAAAATTGCTAATAAGCAATAAAAGGCTATATATAAATGATGAAAACAATTTATTTAAAAACTTAATTTTTTTCAAAATAATACATTAAGGTAAGATTATCACCTTTGGGTTTTCATAAATCAGTCTTACAATGAACATGTTACAAATCAAATTATAAATAGTAAGTCATGTACAGTGTTACTTAGGATTTCTTTAATTTGAACATTCCTTAGATTCCTCACTGTTGATAGATTTCATTTCCTGCGATCCAAGTTGCTTCTTGATGGGGCCAGTGGGTGTTATCGGGACAATCCGTTCACCGATTGATGGCAAGGCAAGAACTTTAGGCGCTGTGACGGTCAGCACACCATCCGAAGATAAGGAAGACTGTACGGTGTCTGGCAGACAGCCTTTAGGCAGTGCGTACCGTCTAACGAACTGTCTGGAAACGTAGCCGTGTTGATCTTGCTTTTCTTCATGTTTACCCTCCACTATGACGTTGCCGTTGACAACTTTCACGTTTATCTCGTCCGGAGAGAAATGTTGCACGTCCACGTTCACCTGGAATTTCTCATCATCTGAACTTATTTTTGCATCGACTTCGTTGAGCGCCAGACGATTGATAGCTTCTGACAACTGCTCCATTGGTCGCATGATATTCTCCCATTCCTGAAGCATATCTCCGAATGGTCTCTCAAATGGATGGTTGAAGAACTGACGAGGAACCACATCGTACGATGGTCGGAAGAAATCTCTGCTTATTGAATGAAAAGGTCTATCTATGTCGAAGAAGAACGGGATGATCGACATTTTCAAACTTGTTATTGTTTTGCTTCACTGAACTGTCTCTGAACGTATTCGTATTGACAATACTATGCCTTACCGCGCGCGATTGGGCTTTTATATATTCGGAACAGCGCCACCTCTTGCCAATAACGCGAACTAGCAAGAATATTCAAGAAAATCCTGGCTTTGTGATTTCTAGAATGTACTTACTGTCCCTGACGCCATCGTGTAATTGGTGGAATGTTCTAGAGACCATAGGTTTTAACGCCATCTAACGGCGGATAGATCAATTTGAACAGAGGTTTGAAATTGGGACAGTGAAAACATTATTTGAGAACAGTTTTTTTTTTATTTCCATGAATAAGTTTATATTAGATATTGTACCTATAAATAATTTTAATAATTTTGAACGTAAACAAATTACTTTTGATTGCTTTAATTGGTAAACGTTTAGTAATTCCTTATTTTTGTCAATCATTATTATTAAAATTTCATTCAAAGAAGGAATAGGAGAACATAAAGTAAAACCTATTCTGGTTCCGGACGTCTCGTGTGTAATTACGTTACTTCGTGTCCTTCGTGAATGTCCAGAAATATAAATGTACTTACATGATTAGCACCCACTTCATCAGGCAGTACACATATAAGCTTGGGTTTCCACTGTATCCATATTTATATCAAAAGATATTTTTATATTTGTTTTTTTTTTTTTAGTGAATATATGACAATACCGTTGCTTTACACTTACTATTTTCACAAAATTAAAAAATCTAGAACTGCCCATCCCATTTGATGTTAAGCGATGATGTTGGCTCTAGCTCTGTAAATTCCTTTACGTCGTTACGTCCTCGAAGGCACCCACGTCTCGAACTGATACTTGGACGGAAGAACTGATGCAACTTATTCAAATCTGATCTTCCACATTTACTTAATTTAGGCTTTCTATTAAAACAAGGATTAGAACAAGGTTGTCATTTATGTGATATTGTATGTTATGAGTTGCATATGAGATAAGAGTACAGGAAGGTTCGCTCTCAGTGTCAATGCCACGGGACGAGACACTCAATATGTTGAGTCATTCACATGATAAAATAGAATAGATGTGTTTATAGTTTTTATTATGTTAACTACGATATTAGGCCGTTGATCCGAGTTCAACCAAGTTGTAGCTATTAATAAGATAGTACTGTAATAAAGTCCACAATGATTTGTAAAAGTAAAAACTCCCACATGATAAAATTAACTCTAATCTGTTTACAGAGACAGGGCATCTTACAAAGGAGATGTATTTTGCAGGTGAGGCACAGAATATGAGTATATGTCCATGCCATTGTTATTAGGGGAGACCTTTGGAATGTGATTTGTCGTTACATTCGTATTGTTCCCTAGAATGTTATACAAGTGACATTAGTAGGATTGTATTTTTTTTTAATTACTAGCTGGCGCCCGCGACTCCGTGTGCACGGAATTAAAATAAAAACTTAATTACTAAACTACTTGTTCTGTCAGACTACATCTATGAAATTTCAGTGTAATCCATGCAGCCGTTCTGGAGATACCTTTTAACAAACTTCCCTCGATCCATCCATCCAAACATTCGCATTTATTATAATTAGTAAGATTATATTATTTATACATAAAGTTGAATGTTATAAACGGCTGAGGCTAGGGGCTATCAAGTCCGCCCTCAGTTGGCGATTGAGCGTGCTCGGGCGCTCCTGTGAACTATGCAGAGTCAATATTATTTTATTACTGTAATCGTGACTGCTCTGTGGTTCAGGTGAGTGACTAATGTAATCAGTTGCATACATAACGTGACCAGACATCCCGTTTTGAACGGGACTGTCCCATTATAGTTACGTGTACCGGTGTCCCCGACAAGAATGCCAGGACGCCAAATTGTCCCGTTTTTTAAACCGCGCGAAAATTTAAGCAGTTTACTTGGCCGATGCAATGGTGTACGAGGTCGAGACCACATAGTCGGACAGTCCATCTGAGAAATTCCAGTTCTTAAGGCGAATATAAAAAGTGCCAAGATTTTCAAACTTGTTTTAAATCACCACCAGCGATTATTCATAGGTAGTGGTACACCTCTAAGGACTAAGAAGAGTTTGTGGGTTGAGTTTAGACTTTTTGAAAATCCATCACACGAAACTTTTAAACTGATTGCGTTTTTTTGTGTTTTGCTGTCTGCATTTATGTACATAAATATATTTCACTGATGATTTTCCCTTTATTTTATTTCTCATCAAATCAACTTAACCCCTGACCTAAGTTACTACTGGCATTCGTAAATCAATAAATTTAATTTTTGCATTGCAATTGTCACTTGTTACTTGTGCCAATTATTTTATTGATAAGAATAATATTTATAAATATCATTATGCAACGATAATGTCATTAAATAAGGGCGACGATTAATGTCGGGATCGAGTTCATGTCCTCTAATGGGAGACTTAAATGTCATTAGTCTGGTGCGAAGTTTTTTTTTATAATATAATGTTGTAAACAAGTGTAATAATTACCCTTAACATTGAAACAGGGCTTCTTTCAACTGGTAAGTACATGTTTGATATTATTATTTATAGAGTGGAAGCAACGCGTGCCAACTCTGAAGTATGTTTCCCGCCACATTTCATGTTTGGTGTTGCCACAGCCGCGTACCAGATAGAGGGCGCCTGGAACATTTCAGGTAAGGTGCCTTAGGCTTTAATAAAATTAAGAATGTATGAATTGAAGTCATTAATTGTTCGGCGCTTTATTATTTATAACATGGATCAGGTAAAGGCGAAAGTATTTGGGACCGCTATACTCATACTCACCCGGAGCGCATCTTCGACCACAAGACGGGCGACGTGGCCGCCGACTCATATCACCGGGTCAAGGAGGATGTCCGCCTGCTGGTTGCGCTGGGCGTGCACCACTACCGCTTCAGCATCTCCTGGCCAAGGATACTGCCCACTGGTCTTAGCAAGTATGATATGGATTACCATCTCCCGATATTTTTTTATTACATCCATTCAGATCATCTAAAGAGCAATATGTGATGGTCTCAAAGTAAATCAATCTTTTAAATCTTTAAATTATCATTTCCAGTGACATTAACGAAGACGGCATAAGGTACTACAGCGAGCTAGTCGACCAGCTGCTAGCGAAGAATATCGTGCCCATGGTGACCCTGTACCACTGGGACCTGCCGCAAGCGTTACAGGACCTCGGTGGCTGGACCAACCCTATCATTGCCGAGTATTTCCACGACTTCGCTAAGGTAGGGAGACAGCATACATTTATTCATTTATTTGATTCGGCGTTTTATTTTCAATTCTTTCATGTGTTTTAGATTGTGTTCGAGCACTTGAGCGACCGCGTGAAGGTGTGGTTCACGTTCAACGAGCCGCTATCCTTCTGCCAAGAGGGGTACGGCGGTACGGATGCACCCGGCGGCAACAGCAGCGGCTTCGAGGACTACCTCTGCGGACACAACGTACTGCGCGCGCACGCTTCTGTCTACCGCATGTTCGAGCGCGACTACAGACACACGGGCGGTGGGTACAAAAGAACACATTAAACCAGCAAATTGAGTGAGGGGGACAGCATCTAGGTGTAACTTGAAATTATTTAAACAGGTGCTGTTGGCATAGTGTTGGATTTTGCGTGGATGGAGCCCGCGAGTACGGCCCTAGAGGATCAGAAGGCTGCTGAAACCGCACGGCAGTTCCAAGTGAGTACTTACTGCTTAAAAGTAGAAGATATCGGTATAAATACGATCAAAATTCAACTCTGGTTTGTTTATTCTATATAAATTTGTTTTTAATTTCAGTTTGGCTGGTTCGCGCATCCGATCTTCTCCCCCGAGGGCGACTACCCGCCTGTCATGAAGCAACGTATCAACGAAATCTCCAAACGTCAGAATTTCCCACGCTCCCGTTTGCCAGTATTCACGCAGGAGGAGTTGGTTTCCTTACGAGGCTCTTCCGATTTCCTCGGCCTGAACCACTACACCACGTGCCTGGTGGCGGCGGGGAACGGCAAGATATACCCCCAGCCCTCCTTCTATACTGACATGGGTGTCCTCATTTCACAGAACCCGGACTGGCCGCGGACTAATTCCACTTGGCTTAGAGTATGTTTTAAATAATATTTAAGTGTCATTCTCTGATATTTAAGAAAAAAAAATCACTTTTTATGCACAAAAGTATATTCTGAAGAGCATCGATCCAGCTGGCTGCTTTCGTTAAGCGAATTCTGTTTCAGGTTGTGCCTTGGGGTTTCCGTCGTGCATTGAACTATATCCGCGTATCGTACAACAATCCGCCAGTGCTGGTGACGGAGAACGGCGTGTCGTTGCCGCGGGGGACACATGACTTGCGGCGCGTGCAATACGCGGCGAGTTATCTACGCGCGATGCACCAAGCCATGCAAGACGGATGCGACGTACGCGGATACACGCACTGGAGTCTCATTGACAACTTCGAATGGACTAGAGGATACTCGTGAGTAACGCCACGTATCCTTTTATAGTAAGAAAAGAATGAACAAAGTTAAATTATCAAGAAGGCGTTGGTATGGTTTACAAGTCACTAAGTCACGTGACACGTGAAACATGTTTTTATAATTTGTTACAGGGAACGATTCGGTCTTTACGATGTGAATTACGCGTCCTCAGCCCGCACGCGCACTCCGCGACTCTCTGCGCGCTTCTACGCCAAACTGACGCGCATACGCTGCTTGCCCGATTCATGGGAATAAATATTTATTAAAACTGTATATACTTTTGTTATTTAATTAATTGCATATTATGTTAATTGTATCCTACAGTTATATATTTAATTTCGTAGGCATTAAAAATTAATTACTTTTACATTATTTTTTAACTTACATTTTCTTCTCAACTACTAAAAGGTGCATAATATTAAAAAAAAAATGGTTGAAACTGTAGGTCATCAAGGTGAAAAGGGAAACTAATCCAAATTTCAATTCAAAATTTTAAATTCATTTTATTGAAAATGTTTTCCGTATATTCGAACAGGAAATTACACATTTATTAATTATATAAATAAAACTATAAGTTAACAATAATCGATGTTTATGCGCAACATAATGACGCATTGTAAATAATTCTACATATGTACAATCAAAAAAACTTATATTTAGGAACTAAATTTAGTTTAAAACGTTTTGTAAAATTTCATGGAAACTGATAAAATATTAATCTTACAATACAACGACTATAAATTATAATTAGCAATATAATGGATAGGCCATTGTTTGAAAATAGGATTGGAGAGGCTGTTGCTAGGACCAGCGTCCGACTTATACATCTATGTTGAGGTTCCTGACAATGAATTCTATCTATATTATTAGTTCGTATCCTCACCACTGCCGCCAACTGCAACAGTCAGCGCTAAAATGGCGAAGACCGAATAGGCACAAAGTACCACGGTTTATAGCCTGTCCATGTATAGTGGTCAGTGATTAAAAGTAAAGCAGAATGCTACAGAATATACAACATCCTGTTAATTGTTTCTTAAAAAGGTAATTTTAATCAAGCTATTATAAATTATTTTGTTGCGTTTAGTTAATATTTTTTAAATGCATTTTATTCATTTTAAAATAATTATAAAGGAAATACTTGTCTAAATCATTACAATATACTCATTGGTACCTTCACTTACAATCTTAAATCACTGGTGTGAAGTTAGCTTCATTCATGTACACTCGCTCATAAATTGTTATCAAAAACAATATTATCAGATAATATCCTGAGACAATTATCAAAATTCTTTTTTGTAAATTATAACAAAAATTTCATAGCGATTGTACGCACGTGCCTGAAGTTATGTAAACATACGAGTGAATGAGAGAGATATATACCAAAACTGTAGTGCGACAGAGATGGAAATTGTATCTCGGCTCCCGCGGCTTCGTGGTGTTTGCTACTCGATGCTAACTTCACTCCGGTCAAATAGCATTTACATCACATGAAATATTATCGTATACCTAAACATTACATTTAAAAGTAATTTTTTAATAATAAATTCGATTTTTAATACGATTTGGTACGAAAAAAAATAAAGACCGAAATACTAAGAATATACAAAAACTACTTTGAGACAGAAATTTAAGAAATAAGTCAAACAATAAAAACAAAAATTAGTAACTCTGTAAGAGTAAAAAGCATTTTATGGTAAAAAATTTAGTTAATTTCACATAAATACATTGTACTGTAATAAAACTAGTCTATATATCCGTCTACGTCAGCCTCTATAACATTTACTTATCGTGGGTTTCTAAGACGGTGGTATCTCCGTTTAATATATATTGTTATCTCTGTTTTGTCAAATATGAAAGACAAGGAAGACAATATGGTTGATACAGTTATTTTAGTCTCAGAAACCCACGGATATGAGACATAATATTGACTTATAAGTCAATTAGCTATAAATATAAAGATTGTTATATAAAGGCACATTTCATTGTAAAGTTGGTAAAAACTTTTAAATATTTAATTATTTGGTCGTGTAACTAAATAAAGCACCTTATTTTCAATTTTTTATGTAAATCAGGAATTCGGAAATATTTATAATACTTATAATCAAACTTTCTGTTGGTCATAATATTAAAATATCTTTTTATCGTTAACTATGACCTCAAACATCTTATCACTTAAATTAATTGAAAAAAATAATGAATAACCGGTCTAAAGTTTTAAAATGTAATCAAAATCAGTAAAAATCAAATATAACAGATGTTAATGATAAAATAATTATAGCCTCTGTAGTGTTACTAAATAAAAAAATATTTTAAAATAAAATCATCCTCTGAGTATAATTACACTGTACCGAGAGATTTATTCTATGTATGACAAACATCTGTATATTGAAACATATAAGCTTCTATTATAGTTCTATACAAATATCTCAGCGGTCCAAGATCATGCACACTGCGCAATGCCCTCCAACGCATCGCAAGAAGTTAGAGCCGACGAGATATGTGAGAACTACTATACAAGCTCATCTGTTTGACACTTTTGTTGAGCTTACTTATATAATGTACTTAATAATGTTATTCGAAAGTTGTAGTCCATTTATTTTGAACCTGTGTTATAAGTTATCCTGTAGGCGGGTGTAGATGTGCTCGGTGAGGGGCTACGCCTGCGGCATCTTGCACTGGCTGCACTCCTCCATGCCATCGTTGAACTCCTCGATCTGCAGCGTCATCTCGAAGAAGTTGTACTTCTCGTGCACCAGCCTGGTGGCCTGCTCCAGCACCTTCTGCGGGCTGATGCCGCTGCCTGTAACACAAACGTTTAGTTTTCTTCCTCTTTTTATCCTTTTATTACATGAAAAGCATGGGAAAGAGAAATGGGAAGGGGAAATATCCTCTTTACGTACGTCCCCTACCGTGTTAATTAAAGAGAGGCAACTCAGTTGCAAATGTAGATGTCTTATACCAGCACTCTATTCGTTATTTTCGAATTCAAGTGACCGCTGGATTTTTTGATATAAAAAATATAATATAAAAAAAGAGTCTTGACAGACGGACGGACGGACAACAAAGTAATCCTATAAGGGTTCCGTTTTCTTCCTATGAGGTACGGAACCCTAAAAAATCCATAGACTAGGCTAGGCTTATTGCCAATCTCAGAGTTGTTAAGTGTATAGTGAGGGAATCTCATGTGTTAGAAGAAATCTACATTAATTGAACATTCAACTGAAACACTGTGAAATGATGGACCGTCGAGCAGGATGTGGAAACGTTAAATGTTTCTAACGAATAATTTATATGATTGACGGTCAGTGAGGTGTGAGGTGCGAAGTGCGAGGTGCGAGGTGCGAGTTGCGAGGTGCGAGGTGTGAGGTTCGAGGTGCGAGGTGCGAGGTGCGAGTTGCGAGGTGTGAGGTGCGAGGTGCGAGGTGCGAGATGCGAGGTGCGAGGTACGAGGTTACGTACGTATGGCGAGGTGGGCGGAGAGCGCGGTCTTGTCGAGGGAGAGGGCCCACATGCGCAGGTTGTGTATGCGCACGACGCCCGGCAGCGACAGGAACGTGTTCGCCACATCCTGACACACAACAATACATACGTTATATAATATATCCCACGACGATCTGGATACGCAAGAAAAATATCGCGCTCCTTTGGACTCCCGCTTATCCAGGTCCCACTATTTGTCCTACTAGGTGGTACATGAATAGAATAAAAAAACTGATTCACTTACAAAAATCCATGCAAACCTTCGTATTTATAGTATTGGTAAGATAGACAAGTAAGATTAAGAATCAAATCTAAATACAAAGCTTTAAAGATTGTCAACTGTTTTTGTGTGTTTGTTCCTTAAATGATGTGTATATTGACCTGGAAGTCGAGGCCGCGCGGCGAACCCTCCATCAGCACCAGCAGGGTGTCCTTGATGATGTTGAATGTGGTGATCAGCACCAGCACCGAGAACAGGAACGTGCAGATCGGGTCCACCAGGTTCCATTCCGGCTACGATCAAAACATTAAATTAAACATTATAACAGTAAAATTTAACAAATAGAATCAACTTTAATTTACTAAATACAAATAAATACAATTTATGGTCATAAGTATTCTTGACAATTATCGTCAAATTTTTGTTTCAAATTGTCATATCTTAATGTAATCGACTCTCTATGATCCTAAAGAGTTGCAAAATTGTAGATTGTAGGTGAATGAGTGTGAGGAATGGTGTGCGAGGTCACCTTGAAGTATATGACGAGTGCAGCGACGAGGACGCCGAAGCTCTGCAGGAAGTCCCCGAGCACGTGTATGAATGCGGCTCGCACGTTGATGTTCTCAGCGTGGGCGTGGGAGTGCCCCCCGCCCCCCGCACCCCCCGCACCCACCGCACCCACCTGCGACGACGCGCTCTCCGCGTCTGACTCTGTATTCCTCTCCTGTAAACAACAATAAAGTTGTGTTACTCAAACTATATCTTCAGTCGCTCTTCTCTCTACTAAGCTATGCTTACCTTGTTGTTGAGTACGGGGTTGGTGCCGCCGTGGGTGTGGCCGTGCCCGCCGTGCGAGTGTCCGTGCTGATGCAGCGTCAGACCCATTCTGAAAACACAACGTAACACATGTTACTGGAAGGGAATCGCTTCCAATGTTAAGTTGGGATCAAGGATCTCTCGAGCGTTACACGAGCATTTAGAAGACAGGTCTGAGACAGAAGTGTAAGAGGACTGACACGAGGTTGACGGCGACGCCGATAGCGGAGGTGATGAGCATCACGGTGGCGTCGATCTCGAAGGTGTTGTAGATGACCCGCTGCACCGCCATGTACACCAATACGCCTGTCACCACCCAGATCAGCAGCACTGACGTCAGCGCGCCGATCACCTCCGCGCGGTACCAACCGAACGACATCCTGCACAACAACACACATGTTAAATTCCTCCTCCTATTGACTTTACCATATTTTACTGAACTGAGTGAGATTTTTAGTTCCCTCTCCTCCTACAGTAGGAACTATAAAATTAATCGTAACATTGGTTGAAGTTTCAATCGAATTTAATTCGAGCTGGTGACTTACTTCCTGGTGGCTGGTCTGCTGGCGACCCACAGTGAGAACAGCGATATCATAAAGCTAGCGAAATCTGTGAGCAAATGCGCCGCATCCGTCGCTATCGCCAAGCTGTTGGATATGTACCCACCTGCAAATACAACAATACGTTCACACCGACTACTATACACCTTACCTCAGTTAGTTTGTACAAGTTGATTACTTCATTTTTATAGTAAAAG